TTGGTGATCAGGAGACAAAAGCTAAGATTTATTGAAGCAAACAAAAACCAAATTAGGGAAGTTAAAGTTGCAATGTGTAGTTCTAGGAAATATCTGTACCGACCCCACACTTTTCCCCACATTTTTTTTCCAAGACCCCCCTCCCTCTGGAAATTTCAATTAAGCTTCATACATTTCTTTAAACTGTTTGGTCTTAGAGAAACTCCCCCCCCCCCCCCCAAGAAATTCCAACTTTGTCTGTGGGGAGCATGCATGTTAATGGCATAAAAGATAGAGCCCAGTTAAACAAGAGTTAGCAACTAGTAAGTAGACCTGAGTAGACCTTGTCTTCTTCTTTGACATGTTTTTTTCCAGATATGTATGGTCTAGAAGAAGGTGGCATAGCAGTGACATTCTTTGTGCTTTATGTGATTGGTTGGAAGCCCCATGAATCCCAGGTGAACAACTAACCCCTCAATATTGATTTTGTTGGCTTGAATCATAGGTCTGCAATGCGTACAAAAGCTGGGTATGACGCATTTTTGGTATGGAATGCATGTAGAAACCAAACGTATAAGTATGTTATTCCACTGTACTCATAGTAGGGCTCTTAGTAGTAATATGTAATGATATTTTTTTCCTTATTGGTATCATTTAATGCTGTGTAGTTGGTGGCCTTTCACACTGGACAAGTTTCAAAAACTAATTCTTGTCTCTGTCAATTTTCAGCAAAAGGCTGCCACACGTGGCTCTGCAACGGCAAGTTTTGGTGACTTAGCGAGTCTGAACAAACCAAAGGAATAAAACTATCATGTTCCACAGATGAGTGCTACATTCTGCCAGTAGGTTCATCACAATGCCTGGAGTACATGTAGCCATGCCTACTTTCTCAAAAGACTTGTTTTATGCCACCATCTTTGCTCCAGAGAATATCAGCTGCAAGGGCTGTTGTGAACATAAAATAATGGATGTGGACTAAAGAAAACTATTTTTCTGCACATGCTAATTTTACTGCTTTCCTAACAGTGATCAATGACAAAATATCTTTGTGCAGATATTATGCTTTGTCATGCAGACAGGTGATGGGAATTAAAAAGACTGTGTTAAATTTACGTCAGGACCAAATTCTTTCGCTCAATATCATAGCCCCTGGTAATGCTTTTATCAGTCAAGGGACTGTGGCCACAGATGAGTTTCTTGCACTAACAAATGTCTGCCTGTTGTTTCAATGCACAAGTTTCGTGTCCTACCTTGGTCTCTGAGGTTTTTCTTAATTTCTCATCTCATGCAGAGAAAAATCAAGAAAAACATCTGGGACCAGGGTATTCACATCCCGACACCCTTTGAAATTCATTGCTATTAATCCCAGAAGTCTGTTGAAATGGCACTTTTTCAGGCTGTTGCATGCACCGTTGGTTTCTTTCATGGATTCCAAAACGTGATCACGTGATGATTAATTTCATGATGGTGCGATGAGTGAATCTCCTGCCGTGAGCCAAGTTGCTGCAGTTTGTTTGCACTTTTGTTGCGTTTTGCCTTTTCTAGCAAGATACAATTCAAGATATGATACTGAGAGGAGTTTGACAAATGCAAAATCCATCGCATGGATAAGATTTGCCTCAAATTTGGTACTTTTGAGGAATTTGCAACTGCTCTGCTGCAAACTGTGGCCATCTGCGCCAAGAGATGTTTGTCATCATATGATCACTTTTTTTAATTCATGGCTGAAACCAATAGTACATGAAATGGCCTGGGAAAAAAAGCCATTTCGACAGACATCAGGGATTAATAGTAAAATTAAAATTAATATCTTTTTCTTCACTTTCTCTGTTGAATCAATGAGTGCCCTTGTGACTTCTTCATACAAAATACCAATAGTTTATTTGATATCAAAAAACAAAAATAACAATTGCATCACTTACAATAATTGTGATAGCTACATTTTGTTACTTCATATGTACTGGAAAAGACTGATATAAAAAATCCCAGAATATATACAATTATTATTCATGATCATGTAAACACAACAAAATATGTGTTTTAAATATTATGGGGTCATAAAATTAATGTGGACTACTTGTAGACAAGTAAGTATTTAACAAGGGTTAGTCAAAACCTGGCTGCAAAAATAATCTTCTTACTAACTCACTAGCTATTTTAATACCAAATCTTAACCTACAGAGATTCATTCTGAGTGATATTTTGGCTTCTAATTTGCATGTTAAAAATTGGTTTTATTACAAATTAATCTAAACCATGTTAGAAGCATTCTGCAAAGTTGTACGTTAGTTTGCATAAGCTGGTATATATTTATCAGGACTGAAATGCATGATATTAACTTCAACACTGCTGAAATCCTTTCATATGCATTCCTAGTATTGATACTGTAAAGAATGTAAACTTGTAACTGCAACTTATCAGAATCGAAAATTCTACCTATGGTATGGGAAATTAATGAAAACTCAATTTGGAAAATCCTTAGTTGATCGATTAAAATAAAAGACATGGTTGATGAACTAATCATTTGAAATCCAGCTGATTTCAACATTTAGTTCCACAAATTGTGCCATAAAACAAAACTATTTTGGATCACACTATTCTTGGGAAATCTGCATCTTCAAATTAAATTTTATCACTTCTCAGCAAGATGGATTTCTAAAATTAATCAATATTAAAATGGTCCACACTTGTTCTAACGTGCTCAGAAATTGCCTTCATTGATCATTACAACAGCTAAAACATTACAATGTAGGTAAAATTCTTAGTTGAATGTTGCCAAACAGTCTGCTACACACACCAATCTGCTGACACACCAGCAATGTACTGCTTGGTGAAGTCTTGTTCCGTGATTGCAAAATATATATTTTTTATGATAGCAATTTTAATATACATGTAAGGGACAAAAGCAAGGCCACATGAACACAAAACTTATCTTGCGATAGTGTTTTACGTAACCAGCTGGTAGGAAAAACACAATGTAATGAGATAACAGGAACATAATCACATACTAACAAAAACACAAGGAAAAAAATGATCTTTTCTTCATGTTGCTGTTCTTATCTGGTCAGTGTGAACCAGGCCCTACCAACTGCCTACAAGCAAATCATGATTAAAAAAAATATATATCTGAGCAATTTCGCAAAAACACGCCCGCTAGGTTTTGTCTGGATTCGGGTGCAGCCCGGCATGTCACACAATCTTTCTCTCCCATGAATGTGGGGAAGGAAGATTGTGTAACGAGCATCTACCTGGGAGGCTTGTGTCATGTAGAGTACTGACAGATCATTCCCAGGCTTCCCACAATCTACAGACTATACCAATGGTCTAATGGCAGAATATTGACTACCAGTCCACAAACAAACCACAGGTGGTGTTCTGAGAATCTCACAATGGTCTCTTATTAGTCTACAGATTGCCAACTTATTCTGTTGAAAGACTACCAGCAGTCAGGCAATAGAAAGCTATTTAAAGACCAATTTTGATATATTAAAATTCAGCCTAAAACAATAGACCTCAGCTTGAGGCTCCAGGGAATAAATACAGAGTTTGTGGGGTTTATTCCCTGGAGCCTCATGTTGAGGTCTATTGTTTTAGGCTGAATTTTGGTTTATCAAAATTGGTCTATTACATGCCATAAGTTGGCCAATTTTTTTTTTCTTGGGGGAAGGGAGAGAGTGGGCTGTTTTGAGAATTTCTTAAGGGATCAACATTTTATTGTCAGACTTAAGTTTGCAGCTCTTGATTGTAAACGAGAATTAGCAAAAGTAGTGTGAACAGTAGCTAACACTTAGGACAGTATCATTTCTAGAACACTTCATCATCACATGCTCAGCATTGTCATGACTGGAGGTCATTTCCCTTGTCAGGAGTGTAGGAAAACTGATTAAAAGCCTCTTCTTCCTCTGGAATCTCTGCAAGGTCTCCTGCAAGAAATTTCCCAAAATGATTTATTTATCACATTATAAATTGGAACGTTTTTTACCCAAACCAAACAAGACGTTTTCTTGTTCTATACATCTAAGAACCTGCCCACTAATGGGAGAAACAGCCATAAACATTAAGGGAGAGAGGGAGGTAGGCTTAATATCATGGTTAATGCACAGGGTGTTACATAAAAAAAAAGATTGGAGGTGCATACTTGAACACCATAATGGCAAAACTTTGCTGAACAATGAGATGGAGCATACTCTGATGTGATAAAATACAAAGGAAGCTCTGCAATGGGGGCATAGTTGGTTTTTCATTACTTTGCTAAATGATTGGCTTAAAAAACTTGTGCCACCTTTTTATCCAATCAGACATAAAAGTGAAACTTATCATGACTCGTTTGCACATGTTTACTCATGCTTTGTGCCAGTTACAGGTAATTACTTTGAGTTTTGATTGGTTCACTGGATTGTCTGTGTCCTTTGTGATTGGCTAGAGTGATAACTTTGGTTTTAGGTTTATGACACTCAATTGAAAACCACTCTATGGTAAATTAATGACAATTTAAGGTAAACTGGTAACCAGCATCTGATACCCTACAATGAAGGGTACCAGAGTGTCTTCACTCAATTTAAGTAGTCAGACCATAACAGTTATTTAATCCCCTTGCAAAACAGAATTTCATTACCTTCTGGGGGTGTCAGTTTGACTGGCTCGTTGGTGAAGTCTTCATCAAAATTTGACACATCAGTGTCCGATTTAACGACAGGCTTGTATGGAGGTTTTACCTAAATTGTTCAAGGAAAACAGCACTAAATATCAAATGAGATATAACCACTGCTTCCATGAAAATCGAAAAAAGGTTAAAGAAAGTACTGATTGGAAAGATTATTCCAACTATCTTTATCTGTAAAGGTTAAGTCTGCATATGAGCCAAGTGGCCTATAAGGAGCTTATCTCTGGTAACTTCTGTAGCATGAAACGACTAGGGGTATTTCTGTTACTCCCTGAATGGGATGCTAGTCCATCCCAGGGTTACACCCAGCATTTAACTCACTGGTACCCATTTGTACACCTTGGTAGAGAGAGGCACTGAGAGAGTGAAGTGTCTTGCCCAAGAACACAACCTGGACTGCTTGAGTACACCAACCATGAGGCCACCAGGAGTGAGTGTTAAAGTAAGAAATGCACATAAAAGTCCAGAAAGATCAACGCTGGCCTAGGCAAGTGTGTGAATGCTTGTCTGTTGCATACTGTCAAGTCTGTTCCGGTCCAAGACGGGGGAAAAACCAGACAGTTCAGCACAAGGATTTTTGAACTTTCATGAATAACGAGGCAAAATGCAACAAGGAATATGCTACTCCCTCAGCAAATATTTATTAGGGAGTGATTTGTACACTACTAATGGCCCAAAACCAAGATGAAATCATAGCTAAACTGGCCAAAAGAACATGGGGCCAGATTGGGCATGTCCTCAAAAAATCCCAATAAACGTCATCAAAGAAGCCCTGTTATGGACTCTGGAGGGTGGAGGCAGGTGAGAGCAATCAAGGATGACTTAATAAGCAAAATGTAAAGGAAGACTGGATCCCACGGTCTAAAAAGAGGCATCAAAAACTGCCCAGCAGAGGGTCTGGTGGGAGTGTGTGAGAAGGCACTAAGAGGTCTCAGTGAGTAAGTGACCAAATTAACATTCTTGTCCCCAGAGCCTACAATCCTTTTGGTCAGCAAAAAAACGCATGATCTCAGGGTGGGTCAAAAACAGGAAGTCTATGATTCTTGGACTTCTCATCAAATCTGACAAATTTGGTTGGCTGAGAATCAGCCGAGGGTACTTATGGCTTGTCAGAATAAACTGGTTGGGATGACTGTTGAATAATGGTAACATTATGAAGGTTTTTTTTTTCCAAAATCATTTCCCATAATTGTTTTTGGCTGATGTGAAACTAGAAACTGGAAATTTAAGCAAATGGTAAAGGGAATTTCCACCATTCTTTTCCAAACAGAAAAAAGAGTTCTCCCTCTGGAAGTAGTCTACAATTTCCGAACAAGTTTTCTGGAAAATTACTGTTCCATTTCACTTTCAGCCGAAATTTCTGCATTTTTTTGCCAAAGTGGTAGCACCCAAGGAAATTAATATTCTGTGCTGCTTAGTTGGGACCAGAGTGCTAAATTGATGATCAAAACTTGGATAGGAGGAGGGGTGTGGAGTTACATATACACGTACATGTATTTGATAGGTTAAGTTCACATTTACCTTTCTAAAATAAAGCGAACTTACCCTCTTGTTGTAAATGTCTTCCCAATTAATTGTGCTAAAGAAAGGATGTTGCATGACCTCCTTAGCATCATCAGGTCCACCACCAAGACTGGATATGCAAAAACAAAAACAAAAAAAACAAAACAAAAAACAAAAAACAAAAACCAAAAAACATTTATCAGTTGTGGTTACAAATGCTGTGTCATAGTATGATCTATCATTCTATTTACAACACCTTTTTAAAGTTTGCTAACTAAATTACTTTCAACCTATCTGCTTTGAGCAATCTTTTCCAGTCAAGGCCATACTTGTTCCATTTTGTTCGTTTGTTTGCGTGTGTTTTTTCTTTAATTCATAATAAACAATATTTTTCACTCGGCATATGCTCTAAGAGTACAAACTGCTCATCAAGAGAGCTACGTTGTAATACTGTTTACACTTTTTTGAAGACAAAATCACAGTTGCAGAGAAAAAGAAAACAAGAATAAGCACACAAAAAACACAACTTACAACAAAAAAACGATTTGATTGGGAGATAAAAGACCGAACAGAATGAAACATGTTCACATTAAGTTGGAGTTCAATTCCTGGAACTCCGTTTAGAAGTCAGTCAATATTTCTCTTAACCATAATAACTTATTTTTACAGTTACTGTCAGTGGTTATTTCATCATCAGTTAAGTATGTTTAGTGTGCAGTTTCATTTTATTTGCCACTAAAATACCTCAGTGTGGAACTTTGTAACATGGCCAAGTTTGAACTTAGTCGTGTCTTGATAAATTATACACTGTAGTGGCGATATCATATAGCTCTGAAAAAGCTGACAATTTGACAAAAGTTTGTATGGATGACGTGCAATATTTGCACGCCTTTCATACAAATGAACCTCTTTAAAACTCTCACTGATTTTGCAAGCTATATCTTTACTATTTATAAAAACTAGAGTTGCAAACTTGGCCATTTTACAAAGTTCAATGTGATCAATGGATTTCATTGCTTGGCCTAAATCAAACTGCCGTGACAAAGGGTCTGAATATTGTATTGTTTTCTCACCGTTTTGAAGGATTTTTCTCTAAAAGCCCAGCGAGGATACTTTTTGCTTTATCAGTGATTCTGGATGGAAACTTCACCTCTTCCTGAGGAGAACAACAGTGACAAGCAGTTTCTTTTTAGTCAACTCACCCAAACACCCCAAGGAGACCTGCACCTAGCCTTTAGCACTCAAAAGTAGGATGCCATGCACCCTCTTTCAAATTTGGGACGTCTACTTCCAAAATGATTGACAACCATGGTCAGGTCTTATAACAACTATTATGGAACTTAAGCAAAGACAACACCAATGTTAAGGACTATGCCTAGTAGAAAATGAATTTTATATTTAAGTTTCAAATTTGGCAATTATCTAGATTTCTTCAGTATACATATCGGTCTAAAACCCAGTTCAAAATATGCAATGCCACTGCTGGTCAGCTCTAAAAGGAAATATGACAAATTAGCTATTGTGGTTGCACTTTCTCCAATATATAAGCAGAACATGGGTATTTCATGTTGCTCTTTAGCATTAAGGATGACTGAAATGTACAGTGTACACAGATTTCTAATGAATGTGCATGGCCTTTGTGCTGCTCGTTAAACGTTAAATGTTCGGTGAGGTTCTTGTTGCTGCTACCACTGTGGTTTGCTCAAAGGAACTATGTCACAGTTTCCACAACTTGAAAAGTTTAGCCTAATTATTTCAAGTTCAGCATTTGTAATTAATCAGTGTTGATCTTCTCTATCCTTGTACAGTTCCGCTATGGTCCCTCTATCGATGTCAACTACCATTATCAGGTTTCCTTCACTTTTTAAAGTAATTTTGCACACAGCAAAAGTAACTCAAAATGCCAAGACTGCACTCCTCTAAACTCGATCCCTAGTTTAAAAACCTCAACTAAAGATCATAGATCAGACAACTTCAATATTTAAACTAATGTTTAGCAGTACTGACCGTCAGAATAAGTTCAAAGAGAACTTCATGATCTCTGTTGTAGAAAGGTAGACGGCCACACATCATTTCGTACATGACCACACCCACACCCCACCAATCCACAGCTCGGCCATAGTCATTGTCTTCCAGAACCTGTTTTAAAAACTGATTTAGATTTATCCAAGGCCAGGTCCACACTACGCCAAAGGAATTTGAAAACGGAGGTTTCATTCTGAAAATGCATCAAATGTTTTCCATCCACACTACAACAGAGGAATTGAAAAGTGCAACAATCACCGGTCATTTTGGATTTGTGTTTGAGAAGAACTCGGTCAGCTGGGAAATCGTGTGATTATTGTGACGCTATCCTTTTTGGATAGTTCCATTTTCAAAATGGTTTCGGCCTGCATGAAAACAAAAAGCTGGTGTTTTCAAATTCCTCCTGTTTGAAGAGTGGTTTCAAAAAGCTCTGTTTTTGCGACAGATTATTCTAGACGGTGGGCCTGACCATAGAAATAATTAGCTCCGTTTTCATATTTCTCTGGCGTTAAGTGTGAACAGTAGGCCTAACCATAGAAATACCTGTCAGTCTAGTTACTTTGAGTGTCCAAGCAACTGTGACCAACTTTGCTGTTAATATTATAGTCTGCCTTTTTATTAATGTACATCTTCTCTTGGTTCAATCTAAAATATATTTGCCTTAAGCTATCCATCAACTTGGGATTGACTTGGCAAGTTTCAAATGTTAATTTTTATCACACTCAGTTTCAAAGTATTCAGTTTTTCGACTCCCAGTTAGTAAGCTTCCTGTAGGGGCAGTTGGATAATAGACACGGCACACACAAAGTTTTTGTATTGTATTGTTATACACCGCAGCCTGTATCACAGCAGCAATGGGTGAACGGTCAAATATTACTGATAAATGTGTACCATCTATAGTAGTCTTACTGTATACATGTATTTAAGCCATCTACTCAAATCAGACTCTTTTGAAAGTGTGGATCTTGAGGAGCTGGCTAGATTTCAAGCTAATTATTCACTGACCTCAGGGGCAAGGTATTCAGGGGTGCCACAAAAAGTCTTGGTTGTTGCTCCATATGTGATATCTTCTTTACACAGACCGAAGTCAGTGATTTTGATATGACCATCAGAGTCGAGGAGAAGATTTTCAAGCTGTCACAAAGAAAAGAACTGATTGAATGAGAAAAATAGAACACTGCAGCACACGTTTTCCTAAATAAACAAAACCAAACGTAAAAATAACTCAACTTCTTGGATAATGGAGATGATGGTAAGAAACCATTAAGTGACAAAATAATACAAAACTTTGTTTGAATGTAAAATCCTGGGCTATCAAACACAAGTTTCTTTGCATGCTGTAAAGGGAAATTCTTTCTTCGAGTCTAGGGCTTTCAAGATCTGTGATATACCATAATTATATATTAATCTCCCTTTGGTTAAGCTTTGGTTTCTGATTTTATTTTGAATACAGCATTTTTTTCCTGTTTTTTCTATTTCCACCAAACCAATATGTGCCACAACACAAAGACCACACACAACACAAAGACCCAGTCAGGGTGCCCTCAATCGGGAGTCAAACTGCTAATTAAAACACTTAAAACAACTGAGTGTCCCACTGCCAATGTACACAACTGCTGATAATATTTATTACCTTAAGATCTCTGTAAACGACTTTGTTGTCATGGAGGTACTTGACAGCCAGCACAATTTCAGCTGCATAAAACCTTGACCGCTCTTCTGAGAACACACGTTCTCTGGACAAATGGAAAAAAAGCTGGAGGAAAAAGAAAAGGTACAATATAAACAAACAACAATGAAAAGAAAATTCAGAATTATCTGTAATGTGTCATTAAATTATATATTGTCTTGTTTAATTAATTAATTAATTTTATTATTTATTTCATTTTATTTTTTTTTGGCTGGGGGAGGGACAGTGTTGACAAACTATATTAACATACGTTGTCTAACAAAAGTAAAACTCACTAACCTCACCACCATTGACATATTCCATCACAAATACCAATCTGTCTTTTGTTTGGAAGGAGGATCGCAATTCCTGTTACACAAGGTAAAGAGTTATAATCACAATTATTAACAAGTAATTATTTTGTGAAATGACTGTCATTGAATATTATTATCCACATTTTAAGTGATGAGTCTGAGAGCCTAGTGACCCACCAGGCTGACGCTTTTCTCTACCCCCCATCCTCTACCCCTCCCTCCTGACATGGATGGAATCCTTGTCCACCAAAGGGACTGCTTGATCTGCAGTCATGATCTGGAGCACTTAATCATAAGACCACAGACTACACATACACACAGTCAAGTACAGTGGAGCCCTGCCTTACAGCCACCTTGTTATTACAGCCACTTTATTCTGGCCCAAACAAAAGATCAGTCGGTCATTTTCTTATTTAAACTCATCACCAATTGATGAGTTTGGGAAAGGTGCCTTTGGGATGGTGGAGCCAAGATATGAGCCTCAAGCAGAGCATGCAGGTATCCACGGCAACCCTGAGAGTGGGCAACCACCAGGCACTGTCACACTGACAGAGTCAGTGGAAATACTTAACACCCCATATACTTACCATCACCAGCGAAAGGGAGGGAGGTGAGGGAGCAAAAGCACTCAACAGGCAAGAATGGCACTCATAGGCGAACTGCACAATCTCACACAGCTGGCAAGCAAAACACGTAAGCCCAGCAAAACCCTGTATGAGACCACACCGAGCATGATTGCCCTGAGAGACTGCTGACCAGCATTAGCTCGACTCGAACTTTGCCTAAACTACATTTAGCCCCATTTAAAGAACCCCTTTAATACGGCCATCCCTTAATATGGCCAGATTTTTGTGGCCTGTTGGTGACCAGATTAACGAGGCTCCACTGTACTTTCCATGGCAATATACTATACATTCTATACTGGCAAGATCATAACCAGCAGTTCTGGCATTCCTACATGTATCTTTATGCATGCCAACATACCGTCAGGAATGGGTGGACTGTTGTCTTCAAGACTCTGTTTTCTGTTAGCGTATGTGCAACTTCATCCTATAAGAATTAAACTTTCATTTTAATTTGCTTCCATACCAAAAGAACGTAAGTTCTACACATACATGTAGCATTTAATGAATGGCCACATGCTAAAGTTTTGATCACAGGTTTACAGGTTAGAACCACATTGCCACATTACCTTGGCAACAATAACTTCTTTCTTTAAAATCTTCAGTGCTACGACTTCACCGGTCTTTTTCACCCTTGCTAGCATGACCTTGCCGAATGTTCCTTTTCCTAACACTTTCAGCATAGCAAAGTCATCAAAGGTCTAAACAAAGACATATCATGGCAATTATTGAATCTTAGAAAAGCTGAGTGCTCTTACAGTGTTTGTTAAAAATTATTAGCAGAATTGAAAAAACATGAAGTACAAGACACTGATAACAAACCACTTTTTGACTTCCTATAGTGATCTCATCTGACTTGTCTTTGTCATTTTCACGCAACTTATTTGCGACCTCTTGAATGGCGGTAATCCACTCTTCCCTAAAAACAAAAAATACGAAAAACAATTATTAAATGCAACTGTTGGGAAAAGTTCACTAAAATGGAGCTGTTTTATTTGGCCATCAAACCTCCAACCAAATTGATTGCTACATGTACATTAAAATCAGTGTCTGCCACAGGTTTTGGACTAGTAACACATTGCACGGTAATAAGAGAGCAATTATGTCATTTTTGCAATGAAATAAAAGATTTAAATTATTATAATTACTGTGTGTGTGGAACTTTTAATTTACTCAAAATTTTGACCATGTACTAAAACTTATTGCTAATCAATGACTAAGCAATGATTTCTAAGTGAATCGTTTTGCTTTTGATGTATGTCACTCATTTGTAGGCATTCCATGTGACCTGAAGCATCAAACATGGCAGAGATTTAGTAATAAAATTTTAATACTTTCTAACCTTGTCTTCTCAGCCCTTACTGTAAGATTTCAAGTGTTATAAATCCTTGTTTTTTCCCCTTCAATTCATGGTCTGCAAGCTTTGTGCTTAAGCCATAAATCAAAGGGGAAAAAACTTGGTCCATAACTTACAGCATGGACTTTGAACTCTTTGATCAAGAGGATCTAACCTTTCCATATTTCATTTGAGTTTTATAAACCTGCGAGCCAGCGAGCCATGTGAGCCAAGGGGCAAGCCATGCGAACCATGCGAGCCATGTGAGTCATGTGAGCCACAGTACAAATGTTAAGATTTTTTATTTGTTACATTTATATTCGCATGAGAACAAGAACAAGAGACACGGAACAAGATGAATAAGATCGCAATATTAAATTCTTGCAATATTATATTCTAAGGGAAGAGAAAACCACATGCAGCAGTCAGCCAACCGACAAAGTTTTGATAACTCTGATTCACTAAAGAGTGAACCTGTTAAAATTACGTGATTTACTCACCACTCTTGACGCCAATACACAGAGTTGCCCTGAAGTACTGTTCTCTTTTTTCTTGAATGATTTTCAACGTGGATATCAATGAATGACAGGTGTAAATGGATACCATTCAACTACCCATTCGAGTAGCGGTGGGGCAGTGGAGCCATACTTTTCTCTCAGAAATTTTTTTTACTTAAGTCTTAAACCTTAATAAATTTTTGACGCATTGTTTTTATTTTTTGCGGATCCTGGGTGATTTGAATAGACAAAATTTTCTCCAAACAACAAAAATATGAAACAAGAAAAAAATTCATCTAACTTAGGGCAGCCATTACTATGACGCAAGACTTGGCACGATGTACAGATGTTTAGAGCATTTTTCATATTTGACACACCAGCAATAGTTCTGGTAACCGAAGCGAGATTAGGATTTTCTTCTGGGAATATTTCAGTTGTAGGCACTTGCCCTGGGAAAGAGAGAGTACCTTGGGAGCGAGGTTGTACTGTTTATACTTGTCCCAGGGTCATCTCCACTTTCAAGATGGCGGGCGGGTTGGTTTACAGCGATAGTTTAGTGATACTGTAGTTGGGCACGAGATCTATGTTTCTTGGTGAAATGATCGACGACCTTGATATGCTTATGCCCAGACCAATTGAAGAAAAAAAAATACTCGCAAAAATGGCTCGCACCATGGCTCGCATGGCTCACTGGCTCGCAGATTTAGCAGACCCTTTCATGTTGTGTTCTAAGTTTTGTTATTTTGGAATACGTAAGCATACATTATGTTTTTTTCTAGTTAAAAGCATCCTTAGTTAGTATGTCTCTACCAAACCCCACCTGCAACCAAACATTGTAAATTACGTGCTTTTTGCCAGTTCTGACAAGAATTAGTGAGAACATGTAACTTAAAACTGCAAAAGATACAAACTGCAAAACTAACCTTTCATCAGTGTTGTCTAAATGGAAAGTCCTTTCTATAAGTGTTGTCCATTGCCAGCATCTTATAATGAATGAATTTGCCTTTGGCTTTTCTTGTCTCATTATCTGGCATTCTGGTGAAAGATGAAAAATGCCAGTAACTCTTGATAGCAATATATTATACAATATAATCATGGTAAAAATTTTACAGAGGAAAGAGTCCTGATAGGATCTTGCATTAAAATCCTGCAAGATCCTTGTGTCCATTTGTACTCAGGTTCATTATGCCTCCACGGGGCTCGAAAAAAACCTTGAATTCTAGCTTGCCAAAAAGACAAGCATCTCACAAATTTTGCTTGCCCTAGGCAAGTTTTAGTTTACTTTTTAAAAATTTATTTAGTTGACAGACAACTTGTCTAGGCCCTTGCCCATCATCTAAGTGAGAATGAAAAGTATCGTGCCTGGCAGGAAAATCTAATTGACCTGGATGACTGAACAGCACTTTTTTCAAACCCTGCTCCAAGAAGATCAGACGATGTACATGTATAAATGAAATGTACTCACTGGCCACAGAAAAGTTGTTAAGGGGCTCTACTTCTCTTGATTTGGGGACTTCCTTGTAACCTATGAAACTGCCATCACTCCATAACTGAAAGTATCTGGGTCTCCAATTCTTGATGTATTCCCCTGGGAAATAATTAAAACAATTTCAAGGCTAATTACTGGTGAATGAATTTTTTACATTTCAACATTACAGAGCGTAACAGAAATATAACAACAACCTCCAGGAGCAGGCTTGCAGAGATTGAGCTACATGTACTGGCTATGAACAGTGGTACATTTTACACTAGCCTGCAATGTAGGCGTATATTGGCGAGTGAGCGTATTTTGATCAAGAGAGCACCCTCTTGGATTCAAACTTGGAAGAGGCTTGGGGAGAGACAAAACACATCCTAAGGAGGAAGAGTGCAGCTGAAAAAACTCCGTCCCCACCCCCTCCCCACCCACTTTTCCTAATCCAACATGGCAATGAGTATTGAGCTGATACCAGTAAGTCATGAACACAAGGAAAATGCTTGCCCTGCAGGCTAATGTTATATTACATCAAAGAGCTAACACAAAATTTTATGGGCTGTATTCCACTGTATGGTGTATTGTACACTGCCCGTGTGCTTTAGTTGGGATTTATTTGGTGTCTTGCCTTCAGAGCAGGAGGAATAAGCATCTTTAAGTTATCACTTACATACATTATAAGTTTCTTAAATTTTGTTTTCTCACTCTGTACTCAACAATTTTAAATTGTTAATATCCAAAGTAGGCACCTCGTTAATGGCTAAGTCATCTTGTGAGTATTTTCAGGAGTTAGTCAATTAATCCAAGGCTATTGAAAAGGAATGTAGCATGCCTACTATACAATGTAAATGTATATACCACTTTCTGTGCAAGGCATTACATGAAATGGTTACCTAGTTCTGACTGTCAAAAACAGTACAAATGATTGGGGATATTTTCTGTGCCACACATACATGAAAGGACTACCTACTCTGACTGTCAAAAGTACTAAATAAATGATTGGGTGGGGTTTGGTCCCTTGCACAGAGTCTCGATCTGTTTGTATCTTGGGATTGCAGAATTGGAAATTTGAGAATTGGAACATAATGGACAACTGTTACACTTGTCAGAAATACTAGCAAATACGCCACAAAGTAGAAAGTACAATGACATGCTTGTCCAGAGTGTTCGTCTTTATTTCTTCTTCATAATATTCCCAATTTATTGTTTTCAATTTTTTTGTATTTCTTGCTCTTCAAAGAGAGGGTGCCTAGCCGCCCAATCCATCCCCTCTAAATCTGCCCAGGTTACCCAAGAAAGCCAAGTGCAACTGGTTTAGACTGAATGCTTCTGATTGCTAGACTAAGTGGAAGTAACAAAACAAAATTCAAATATTTTTTTGGCCCTCAGGTGAACACCACCCCTGACTGATGATTAATCTCACGAAGTCAACATATATACCTCTCTTTTGGAGCCATCCCACTTTAACAATGGTAGCACCATTGCTTGGACCACTTCCAGACATGGTTTAACTTGCTGTACAAACTCTTAAAAACAGAATGACAATATAGAGTCTTAAATTTAGGTTCAGTTATATCACCCTATAATTATAGATCGAGCAATATACTGACAGTCCAACAGTAGGTTTTTTCCAATCCTGCATCCCACCACTATTTTTGACTCAATCGTCCTCAATATTCAGCTTGATCACACCTGGTTAGAGTCGCAGTCCTCCATGTAATGTCTGTAACATGTGATTTTCCATTTTTCATCCCACATCCCGCCGTAAATTTGACAACTATCCCATATCCTGTCTATCAAAATGAGCAAATCCCTTTCCTGCCGAAATATTTTTATCCTGTATCCCACCATTTAAAGTCCTGTCAACCAGTAACCCCACCTTCATTTTTACTCCCATCCCTCATCCCAAACCTATGTTGGGCCCTCTACACCCAATCTTGGAACGAGATGAACTTTTCAAGAAATCTATCTGGGGATGTGTCTATTTATAGTGTTGTGCAACAGTGACTTAAATTGGTTTTCTCATCTGTTACCTAAGCTAGCCCAGTTAAGATCTCAAGAATCTGGGAAGATATTACATCTTGGATTTATTATTGGATTTAGGCAAAATATTGAATCAAATCAATAACTCTGATCCAACAGATTAATGAAGTGATCCACTCTGATCATTGAACCAGGCAGACCCTGAATATGTTAATTTTAACTAATTGACAAATTATCTTCAGAACTAGAGTATAAGGAAGCTAAAAACATCATGGAAATAAAAACACCTAAAAACGAACACTGAATATCTTTAACAACTACTGCATTATGTATAAAATATGTCTTGATGTACTAATTAAAATTTGTCACAAAACTTCACGACATCTGCGGAAATAAACTTAACGTTATATTAATTAGTTAGTTAATTCTTGTATTAATTTTATGATAATTAAGTTTCATATATTTACACTAAGCTTTTAAAAGCAATCATGAAATCTGAGGGACGAAAATGTTTCCAGGATTTCCCAGCTTTAATTCAGCGAAACAACTCTAAAAGATCGCACTCAGACAGCTTATAACTTAGTTATAAGTGCCTAAAGAGTGAATTTACAATAAACAACTACTTCGAGGAAGTGGACGTCTATTGAAAAGGCCAACCAGCAGTACATGACGGAATTTCATTATTCTTGGAAGACAATCTTATGGAATTTGGTCATGAACACCGAGTTTGCCACGAAAGTTAAAGATTTTGAGCTTGTACCGTGGGACAAAATCCAAAATGAAATATTGCACTGGTCTCAAAAGTAAGTGGATGTTTTCGCAAAATGCTACATATACACAGTTACCTCAAAAATACAGTTGTTACTTTATCCCCAGGGACATTCAGTTAGAAACAATAGAAATCAAATCAAAAATGTAAATGATCTAGGCTTCGAGAATGAAAGATAAAAACCGATCAGTGGTTCTCCGAAGACTTGAAATGACACGGTCTGTTCGAGACAAAATTTAATTAGCAGCTTCCCCTCGACTTAAAATGAAAGCAATGACGCAGACTTAAGCACAGTATAAGATATTCACGTAAAATTCCTTCCACCTGAAAGAATTTTTAACAATTGCAGCATAAGGGATTAAATGAAGCCATTCATAATTACCGCCCACAAAGCTACCCAACTAGTGTATTGACTCAGCATGAAGTTCGAAGCTTCATCAAGCGCTCTCTCACAAACGGAAACTACAAGCTAAAGCTACCACAGTGTCACAAGGAAAGCGAATGAATTTCAGCTAACAAGTAAGTATGGAAAAGCTAAAGCTAACTTAATGGTGCCTAGATGTCTGTTCGTGTTAGAGTCCAACAAAAGGGTAACAACAAAGATTCCGTGGAGAAATCGAACTGGAATCACTTTAACGAGTGCGGAAAATTTTCCTTTCGTGCCACTCTCCCGATCAATATAACAGTGGCTTCAATTAAGATCAGTCCCAAAGTGAGTCAGATTTACAAGTACTGTGTACAAAATAAAACATAGCTACCCACCTGTTTGTTATTCCTTAAGATCTTAACAATACTGGACAGTGACAAATTCAGCTTCAGCGTTTCGCTAGTCTGGAGCGAAAGTCAGCAAGAGGCTGTGGACCAGTTGGGTATACAGAATGTTAGGTCCCAGTCTCCAACGTGGCCTCTAGTCACGCAACAGTGAAGCGATGACGTACCGGAACTTCCAGTTTCCTTCTTCCTAGTTATTAAGAAACCTCGCACCCCCGCTTTTAACGCGATTTTGTGAATGGACAATAACGACATAATAAAAAGCGCCCAATCTCATGTCATCGACTATTGTTCTTTAATCTTTAATCCCTCTTCAATTATGCGAAAAACCTGACGTCTTTAGACCTACCTCTGGCCTGGAGCACAGATAGGTGGGAAGTACACAGGCCCTTAGATGATGACGACAAATCTCCCACCCCCCTAAGGAAACTAGTGAGATCAAATCCCCTGAACCTAGTGACTAAACAAACAAAAAACTAAAATATGTTAAAAAAAAACCTAAAGAAATAAATTATAATAAAAATAATAAGAAACTAAATAAGTAAATATAATCAGATGTGAGCAGAGCAGGACTCTTTTAATTTATGTTGACTGATTAATTAGATAAAGGGATCATTTTTTTGGTCCTGGCATCAGCTAATTTTCAGTCTTCTGGTCCTGTGGAAGGCCACTTGAAAATTTAACTTTTTCTTTTTTGTTTTCTATCTTCCCAAAAGAGGTCATCACAATTTCTTGATTCCAAAGACCCTTTGCAAGAATACAGCGATGGATCTAAGGGAGGAGCCGCCCTTATTTTGGGTAAAAAAGAAAAAATCACAGAACGAAGAAAAGCCAGCAGAGCAAACACCCCCC